GTCTAAATATTGCTCTAAAAAATACTATATGTAAAAATGAGTGAAGAATAATATGGACAACTCAAGATAATTGTTTTAAAACGCCATTATGCTGAAGGAAATTAAACCTTTGACAACTGTTACGAAAGAAGATGTGAAAGAGACGTTAAAACAGCATGGTATCTCAGCACATGTCCTGGAACCATTTGGACCACATTGGTTCATTTGAAGTCAAGCGTGGACTTGCACACAGGTCTCCCATTCCCCAGACAAGAGACCTAAGTGCTGAATTATTTCACTCAGTGAAAAGCATAATATATGTATACGTAACATATATATTCTAGTCATATGTATATACACTCTCATACATAAAGTAAAAGACTAAAAGACTAGAAAAAAAAACAAACTCTAAGGCTCAAGGTTGAAGGTTTTGTGTTGAAATGATGAATCTGGTTCATTTGTATTGTAAGCTATTAGTTATTTTAGAGAGCTGTTTCTCTCTCCTGTCCCTATTCTGGACTACATAAAAACTTTCAAATAGAAATCTATCCAAAAGGAATAAATTGCTGTAAAATATTTTGTTTTCATTAAATGGTAGTTGTCAAGCAGGGAAAGAATCGTTGTTGAAGATGTCATCAAGATTTTTTTGACCGAAATCCTTGCTACAGGAAAATAGGACTATTTCTTATATTATTTCTCATCTTAAAAAAAATATAATCTGTGAAAGAACCTGTGCTGCATTTTTAAATAAAGAATTAAGAAAAAAGAAACACAAGATAAAATCTGATTTGTTTTTTCCCTGATGTCAGTGTTCAAACATGCAGCCTCTACTGGAAATGTGAGCTTTTAGACAAGACAGAAAACTGAACTCCTGACTGCAGACAGACAGGATTTTTCCTGCCCCAACTAATATTAGTATGATTTCAAATAGATTCTTAAACCAAACGGGGATGTCACTGGAGCTTCATGAAAGGCACCCAGCATAACATGGGCACTGGTAACAACAGTGGGGATTTGAAAGACTGCAGAGGGAGTGGTTTGGTCAGTATAGCTATTTGCTATCCTAGGGTATGTCTTTCTCCAAGTCTCTTGACAGATAAGCTTAATCTTGGATAAATAACATTTACCAGACAGTTATTTCTCATAACCAATTGTCCAATTATTAAAGCATTTGTCTAGGATGTGATCCCGTATTACAGCTCATTGTCTCACAATCATCATCTGAATTGCTTACCGCTCCCCTGAACTTGGATGTCACCAAAGGTACTTAGGTCTATCATAGGCACCATGGGAGGACTAAGTAGGGGCCTTCAGGAATTTTCCCGAGGTAAGCAATCCTCTACCTTTCAAAGTATCTGTCCTTCAGCACTGACATCGGGACTCTCCATTCCGTCTCCTGTTAAGTTCACTGGGGCCAGGACTTCCTAAAGAGTCCCTTATCATTAGCTCTTTGTCTTGCCACTGACTGAATCCGTACATCTGTACCTCAGCCTCCAGCAGGTACAGCTAACATTACAATACTTACCATTTCTGTAAATGCTTTTAAGTAACATAAATTAGTAATTTGATGTTTCTAAGTACAACGTTGCTATTTAACTTGGTGTCATTCCTAAACCTTGTGCACTAGTTTTACAACCAAGGATGACATAAACTCTCATTTCCCTGTAAACAGAAACCTCCTGACTGCTTTGAAAGCAAAGCTTTCCACTCCTGCCCTGGAAAGGAACAGCAAGCAGCAATGATGGAAAAGTTACAACAAGTTCTAATTCACCTCAGTAATGCTGGGTAACATCTGGTCTCGCTGAATATTCACTAAGCCCATTTGAGCCAGATTATTCAGGTCCAGATGCGATGGCTTTGGGAATAACTAGCCATTTCTTTGCCTCCAACCGAGCAGCAGCAAAGGGAGTAGCGGAGCGCTGCTCGTACCAATGAGAAGGTGCTGCCACCTGCCGCTTGCACTGCTCCAAGGGGAGACCAGGGATGGGCAGACTCTACCTAGGTGCGTTCAGTTCTAATTTCATATTTTCGGGATTATCCCCCCCCCCCCCCCAAATATTGGCTTCCTCAGATGGAAGAGAAAGACTTTCAGAAACAGATTAAAACACTTTTTTTGCGGTTTAAGCCTCCTGCTAAAGCAATGCCTTGCACTTCTTCAAGGAAACTTCACAGTTCAGTAGTGTCATCTTTTCCCAGGTACCAGCAAGACAGTAGTCTAACCACAGGGGTTTTTTCTTCACTCTTGCAGGGGAAGCACTGGTATTAACAACCCCTACATCTGGTGTTTTAAAAGAACACACAGAAGCCGAACAGAAAGTTCCCCCAGAAATTCAAGCAGAGATGGTTTAATGGTGGGGGTTCAGCTCACTATAAAAACAATAGTCCTCCCCTTGCCCTAAACGTCTGCGTATGTCTATCCTGGACAGCCATTGCGCCTGAAGAGCATTTTCCTTACCATACTTACTGTTACAACTATTATCAAATGCATGTTTGGGGAATTGAACTTCACAGAGATTAAAGGTCAATTTTTCAACTGTATTTAAGCATTCTGTGGCACCAACCGAGATTTACAATATTCCAAAATACTGGAAAGAGAAATGTGGTTATAATTCCTATATGACCATGCATGGCCTCCAAGACCCTGAACTGCAGAGCCTGTCTCCAACTGAAGGTGCCTCGACCCTTTAAGGGTCTGAAAGGTCTGAACCTGTTCACTTATCCAAGAACACACAGAACTTTCGTAGCAAATAAAAATACTGACCCTGGTTCTGCCAGATCCCAGGCTAGTAGTACGACCAATGCAATAGCCTTCCTCACAAGTGCTTTGTAAAGGAAGTGGGGAAACTCACTTTCTTCAGGCACAGAGAAGACTCTTATTTGACTGTACTCAGGCATCATGGAGACAACAGCAGGAAGGAGCAGAAACGAAGATTTAATGGCTCCCAGACATGGACTTAACCTGCCTGATTTGTGTAAATACTGACAGCAGGCTGGCAAAGTTAATCTATTTTTTTTTAAGCTGTACCAAATCTTTACGCATAAAGTAGACAGGACCTTGGACATTAGGATCTGGCCCATCACTATGCAGGCCTGGCCACACAGAAAGCTAAAAGCAAAAAAGCAAGGTTTCACAAGCGTAAGGTTTGTCATCTGGCTCTTCAGGCATCACAAGGTGGGAAACCCACAACTGTGAGGAATTTACTCTCTTGGTGATGACCACAGGGCTGCCAGGCAGCAGCCACTTACCGTCCCGTCCCCGCCACAGGCCAGGATCCGCAGGTTTGGCACTTTTCTGTACAGCTCCAGCCTGGCCAGGACAGGGAAAAGGAAAAAGGGGCAGGGGGGGAAGTCAGAGCAATGATGCAGGCACTTTTATGCATTTTGCTGAATGACAGTTTAATCACTGCTTAATCATCCATTACTAAGGGTGTGGGTAGAGGTGGAAAAACAAAAAAAAACAACACAACCTCAGTGATGCCAAGCCTCAGCAGTGAGGAGGCATCAGCCCTGGCACCCACAGGCATTACAGGCCCTGACCCAAGCTGAGCCCTGCTCCTCATCTCACTTCACACACGCAAAAATCCACTCGGATGAGAAATGACGCCTTCCTCCATGGTTAGGCAGCATCCCCTGAGGACTATTTTATCTGTTTAGCGTGTTCCCATGCTAAATCTGAAAGGCCATATTCTCACGCTCCCCCTGGAGATGACAAAATCTTCCACTTCTGTCTTACCCTAAAGCAAAAAATATAAACATTTAAGGTTTTTAAACAAATTTAGCATTTCTCATCAGGATTTGCCAAGTCATCATTTCTGAGGCTTGTGGAACATGACAGCTCTTTCAACTGGTAACTCTTTTTTTTTTAAACACCACAGAAGGCAATAACAACTAACAGAGACCATCTTCTGGATATCCAACCAAAGATATCAACAGGAGAGCCAAAAAAACACCAATTAAAGACCTGTTCCTTCAGTTACATGAAAGAGGCATAATGAAACCCAATGGAGGGGATACACTCACACCTAGAGAGCCTAGTGAACCGAGGACTTAACCCTCCTTTAACTCCATTACACAGCTCTGAAAACTGTACATCTACTTTAATGGTTCTATACATCACGAATGGAGTAGCAGTAGAGATATTTCAGCAGGAAAAAAAAATAGGCTTGGATCCTCTATAAGTATGAATAGTAAATACTCAGACAGTTCTTCTATAGCTAAATATTTGATTTTACACGATTACTATCTTTTTGTGCCATGTAACTTGTGACAGTAGCAGGAACAGATGGTTAAGTAAAACAAGTGTCATTATCTCCCACACCATAGGATGGTCGCTTAACAGCAAGAGCCAGCCCTTTAAGGATAGATCCTCCCTACCTTGGAAAAGGCTCACACTTCAACTATTGCTCAGAAAAGCTGAGTTAGTTACTCAGCAAGCACCAGATAGTTGCATTCTGCTGTCTCGTACAGAAATTTGGAGGCAGCCTCACCCTGCTGTAATACTCAGCCATCAGAGAAAGGTCAGGGAGTAGGAGCAGCAGCAGGGCCACCTCGGAGCCATCTGGAACTGGCTCTGTCCGACATGAGGGCAGCTCCTGATCTCTCGTCACAGACGGCACCACTGCAGACTCCCTCCTGCTATCAAAACCTGGACACGTAAACCCCATACACAGTCTACCAATCCATCCAGGCTAGACCTTTGTCTGCTTTCCTGATACGAAAAGAATTATCGTCCGAGAAACTTACGCATCTCTTGGCCCTTCCTGAGAGAGATCAAAGACCTGGCGTGGATTCAAATACCACATAAACATTTGGAGAACCTTGGTGCCCTGGGAACAGAGAAAAATCAAATGAAGGGAAATTATGAATTGCTTAATTTTTTTTAGAAATAATAGTGTTCATTATTCACTATATTTGGACTGCCTTTCTCTGTGCTTTATAAAGCAAACAGAAATCAAGAAAAAAACAAACTAGAAAGTGGCATAGCAAAGAACTATTCTATAGAATAGCAACCCACCAGTCTGGGGAGGGTCACTTTAACAACACAGATTTAACAACACAGATCATAAGAACAGGTATTCAGGGTCAGACCAAAGGTTCAGCTCCTTCAGCAACCTGTTCTCCTGCCGCTCACCACCTGCGAGAAGCAGCCTATGTTAACCCACACCACCCTCAGCCATCCATGCCAGCAAGAAGCTGAACAAGTCTGCAGGCAAAGTCACCATCACACTGAACAGTGTCTTGCCCAACATCCAAGCAATGTCACTGCTTTGACCTTCACCATCACCACCACAAACAGTCGTAAGTGTAGCGCTCTACCATCTAATGAAGCAGGAACCAAGGACTCTATGGGCTACAGCTGCCCCAGTGCTCCCTCTCAGTGCTGTGTGGCCAGCCCATCACCTAAAGATATAACGTTCCGTCTTCTCAAACTCTTGGATTCATATTCCAGTCACTTGATTCCCTTCCTTCATATTCTACCCAGACACAAAGTGGCAGGATATCCTACTAGCAGAAGAGGGTGAAAAACCCCATGGGGTGAGCTTGTACTCCAAAGTAATTCAAGAATATTTCAGACATAGCCTAGGGGATGCAAGTCAGGAATTTTCAGTAGTGCAGCATGTGTGGTTATGGTCATAGAACAGAAAGTTGAGTTATACCCCTTCTACAGAGACACCTGTCTATGTCACATGAAACAGGCAGCAGTCCT